GACAAAATGGATCAATTCTTTTAAACACAAACTACCACAACTCACTGAATGCAAAATAGATGTTTTCAATAGCTCTCTATCTGTTAAGGAAAGTGAATTTGTTATTTTAAAACTTCCGGAAAAACATCTTCAGATCTAGATTATTTTATTAGTGAATCCTACTATTTGTTTAAAGAAAAATTAATTCCAATTCTGTAAATATTTTCCAGAAGATAAAGTAGAAGAGGTTGCTTCTCAAATTGTTTTATGAAGCTAGTATTACCCTGATTTCAAAACCAGGGAAAACAGTATAAAAAATTAGAGGCCCAAAGCCTTCCTAAATATATATGCAAAAGCTGGGTCAATAGTTGAAAAATCAATCAATGTGATATACCACATTAACAAGCTAAAGCAGGAAAATCACATGATCATATCAACTAATGCATTAAGTTCAAATGCAAGTAATACAGAAAAAAAACGAATTCAACACCCATTCACAATAAAAATACCCTCAGAAAAATAGAAATACAAGAGAACTCCCTGAACTTTAAGAAAATCATCTACATACAATACACAGCTAGCATTATGCTTTTTAGTGACAGACTGAATATTTTGCCTGAGACTGAGAACAGGCTAAGGATGTTCACTCTCATAACTTTTATTCAACATAGTCTTAAAAGTTTCAGTAAGTGCAATAAAGCAAGAAAATGAAATAATAGGCATACATATTAGAAAGGAAGAAATAAGACTATTTCTATTTGCAGGTGACATGATTGTCTTTAAAGAAAATCCAAGGAATCTACAATATACTTCTAGAACTAATGAGCAAGTCATCAAAATTGCAGAATACAAGATAAACATATAAAAATCTATTGTATTTTGGTATACTAGCCAGAACATATGTGCAGCAAACAAAACATGTACAGGACTCATATGCTGAAAGCTACACAATGCTGATAACATAAAGAGGACCTACATAGGTGGAGACATGCTATTTTCATGGATTGAACTATCCAAATAGTAAAGATGTCAATCTTTCCAAAATTGATATATAAATTTAATATAATCACTATTAAAATCCAAAAACGTTTTTCTAGATGCAGATAAGATTATTATACAATTTGTATGAAAAGGCATGAAACCTAGAATAGTTAAAACAATTTTGAAAAAGAAAGTGAAAGGACTCCATCTACCTGATTTTAAGATTTATATAATTATAGTAATCAAGACTATAGTACTGACAGGAGTATAAACAATGGAAAATAATGCAGAATCCAGAAATAGATCCAACAAATATGCAACTGATTTTTTTTTTTTTTTACAAAGTTACAAGAACAATTCAATGGAGGAAGGACAGTGCTAGTACATACAAGGGGTGCTAGTACAATTGAAAATCCAAATTAAAAAAACTCATAAGGAAACCTTGATCTTAACATTCTACTTTATATAAAATTTAACTCAAAATGGATCATAGACTTTATAAAAGTATAAAATGTTTAGAGAAAAATAGGATAAATCTTTAAGAGTTAGAAGTAGACAAAGAATAAAAAAATAAATTGATTAAACCTTGCTTTAAAAATTAAATAAACCTTTTGATCTGTGTAATAACACCCTGTGAAGAGGATAAAAAGATAAGACACAGATTGAAAGAAAAAGTTTCACAACCACATATCCAAAAAAAAAAAAAAAAAAAAAAAAAAAAAAAAAAAAAAAAAAAAAAAAAAAAAAAAAAAAAAAGCAGCTTAATTAAAACATAAGCAAAAGACATTAGGAAGCATTTCACAAAACAAAATATATAACTGAGAAATAAGCACATAAAAAGATAACTCAACATCATTAACCATTAGGAAAATACAAATTAAAGCCACAATGAGATATTGCTATATCCCTATTGAAATAAATAAAAAGTAGTGACAATACCAAATGCTGGTGAGGATGTGGAGAAGCTAGGGTCCTCATATGTTAGCATGTAAAATGGTACAGTCACTCTAGAAGAATATGGCAGTTTCTTGAAATACTAAACATGCAAATAGATCCAGGAATTAAAATACCAAACATACATTTCTTAAAATACTAAACATACCATACAATCCAGGAATTAAACTTCTGTGCATTTACTCTAGGAAAATGAAGACTTACATTCACACAAAACTTGTGTACAAATGTTTATAGCAACTTTATTTATAATAGACAAGTGCTGGAAATAGCTCAGATGTCCTTCAAAGGTGAATGGTTAAACAATCTGTAGTTTGAGACCCAGATACTTCCTACTTAGGTGAAAACACATATTTTATTCCTTTGCTTCCATTTTCTCTCTTGTAGAAGAAGAATAATTATGTCAATCTATTAAAGTTTTTGAGGGAATTAAATGAGCCAAAGTATGTAGAGCACTTAACATGGTGCTGGCACAAAGTGCTCAATGAAATATTACCACCAATAGGGAATGTAAATTAGTTCAACCACTGCGGAAGACAATGTGGCGACTCCTCAAGGATCTAGAACCAGAAATACCATTTGACTCAGCAATCCCATTACTGGGTATATACCCAAAGGATTATAAATCATTCTACTATAAAGACACAGGCACAGGTATGTTTATTGTGGCACTCTTCACTATAGCAAAGACTTGGAACCAACCCAAATGCCCATCAATGATAGACTGAATGAAGAAAACGTGGCACATATACACCATGTAATACTATGTAGCCATAAAAAGGATGAGTTCATGTCCTTTGCAGGGATATGGATGAAGCTGGAAACCATTATTCTCAGCAAACTAAAACAGGAAAAGAAAACCAAACACCACATGTTCTCACTCATAAGTGGGTGTTGAACAATGAGAACACATGGACACAGGGAGGGGAACATCACACACCAGGGCCTGTTGGGGTGTGGGGAGCTAGGGGAGGGATAGCTTTAGGAGAAACACCTAATGTAGATGATGGTTGATGAGTGCAGCAAACCACCATGGCACGTGTATACCTATGTTACAAACCTGCACGTTCTGCATATGTATCCCACAACATAAAGTATAAAAAATGAAAAACAGAAATTACCACCATTAACACTTGCCAACTTGTAGAAGGTAGTCTTAAGATTATGAAATCCCTCCTGGTTGTGCAGTACTGGTGTGAGGGATGGGGATGGGAACAAAAGCCTCTGTTGACCATTACTTCTTTAATTTACATGTTTGGACAGCAAGAATATAAAAGCTAGACATGACATACTGTCTAATAATCAGGAATGAAAAGTGATATGGTCAATAAGAAGGCAAATACATACAAAAATGCTAAATTTGCTTAAGTGTAGAAAGATTGCTGGACCTGGGAACTATAAGTAAAACTCTGTGAAGTGTGATTTTTAAAATGCGATTTATTGGAAAATTTCAGCAGCCAAAGGTAGTCCCTCTAATAAAAACTGAACATAGCATTTCTTATCTATTATTTGTTTATTAGGGTTCTAATTAGCCATACAGTGTCACTTGATTTCAACACATTTTACAAATAATTTGTCATATATCTGTTAGTATTTACAATTTCTAGGCAGTTTGGAAAATGAACATATTTGAGGACTGTATATTCATTGGTTAGTTCAAAGACCCAAGGGATGCTATAGACACATTTGTTCTTAAATTGCATGTGCCTCTCTCTTTACTGGGAAAGTGATTATGGGAAAGAGTTGGTCTTAGGAGAAAGACCAGTAATGGGAAAGATATTGGTCTTAGGAGAAAGAAGATCTGGTTTGAGGTCCCATGTTCACCACCAAATTCCTGTGTGGCTTTGAGCAGTTGTATTCACTTCTCTTAGCTTCAGCATTCTCCTCCATGGGACAAGGGGGCTGTGCTAAATAACCTTCATTTACTCGCTAGTGCAATATTCTGCAGTTTAACCATATCTGTGATTCTAGACCACATTTGTGCCTAGAAGCCATGGCACTGAGTGAAGGGAAGTAAAGGAACAGGGACTTAAAAGCATTCTTCGCTTTAGCAGATGAAGAACTTTGAAATGCCAATTCACTTTTTAAAAAATTCTAGACTGTTTAAGGCATAGGCAAATTTCTTAAAAATGTTCTTAAAAATTCCTAGCTTGTGTCTTACAGACACAGTGATGTAGACTTTAGATGGTGTGGGTGTTTCTTCTCTTGCAAAATGTTTCCTATGTCCATGTTTTTTCTTGGTAGTCTGATGAGATCTGTAGGTACATATAAAGTTCACAGTGACTCTAACAGCCAAACAAAATCTTATATGAAGGTTTTCATGAAGTTAGATAGTATGTTCACTTCTAACCCCTTTTATTCCTAAGCTTGGTAGTATTTCTTTTTTACTACCCTTAAAATCAACTTGTTGCCTATTCTACCTTCCCTTTCATTTATGGACCCATCAATAATTATCTATCAATACAGCAACTTGCTCATGACATTTAAGCCAATTAGTTGAGCTGTAGGTAACTCAGTAAAAGGATTATACATGAAAATCTCCTTTTAGGGTATGAATCAAAGCTATCAATAAGCCCATTAATAATTCTGATTTTCTGTATGTTTGTAGCACTCACCTAATCTGTAACTATAATATATTTGTCCCACTTTCCTTGTTTTGTATAATCAAACAGTAATCAATACAAACTATGACTACTGCAAAATGAGACTTCTGAAGCTTTGAGGACAAATCCATCATCAGCATGCATATAAAAGTCACTGCAGAGAGTCTTTTCTTTCTTTCTTAAGTGCCCTTGAAACCCAGCAACTGAATTATAGTCCAGGCCCCCAAAGAGAGCTACAAGGTTATAATTGTCTCACACTTAATTACATGCATTATCTTTGTAGACAGACAAAGTCATTTTGTACCATGCGTAGAGAATAAAATCACTATGAATTTTTATATTGCTGGCTCATTGATTCACAGAAAGTAGAAATTTATGCAAGAGCCATGTCTAACAATGTAAATGTTCAGTGAAGTCCAAGAACACTGCCTTCACTGTTCTGGGACTGGGCCTCACATTCACAGACTTGCTATTCTTCTCTTTCACTCTTGGGCCTAGTGAGGCAGCTTATTTTTCCTTTTTCTTTCATTGGTCACAGTTCTTTCTTTTCAGTATGTTGTCTTCTCTATGTTTCTGAGGGAGTGTTAGCTTGAGGCCTTGCCTTGACATAATCAGATATAATCAGAAAAATGAAAAATGCCATAGGAAAGAGAACTATCTTTGCCAAGGTGTGAGAGAGAAATACCACCACTTTCAAGCACTGTTTTCTTCTACTGGAGCCTGCTCAATAGGGACATCAGCTTTGCTGGGGTAAGTAAAAGCATCCTGGCCTTACCTATATAATGCGAGGGAGTAATTGTCTCTTAGAATCATCAAGTCTAAGTTCTGAATTGGACCCAGGATATAACCACTTTTCTTTACACTGCATTTGGAATTTCATTTGGCTTGCTGGGTGCGAGATCCACATTTCTTTCAACAGAATATTTTATTTTGTGTCAATTGATTTCATTATGATAAGCTGATGGCAAATGCTACTTCCTTACTCAACAGGGCTCGCAGCCTGAATGTGCCTGAATATATTTTATGATAAATAATATATCCTGCAATCATTCAGTGCAGCCCAAGGAAACAGATGGAGTTACAGCCTTCTTCTCAAAGCAGAAAGAAACTACAGCTTTGAGTAAGAGAATGACATCATTACATGGCTTCCAATTTCATCTTGATAAACTCTGAAGCTGGCATATTGCAGTAGTTTTCAATGATAGGTGGGAAGTTTGACTTTGAGTTCAAGGGAGAAAACTGTTGCTTAAAGAAAAATGTGTTTGTTCCCTAAGTATGAGTTACTCCTTCCAGAAGCAAAAAGAAAGAAAGAAAAAAAGCCTCATGCATGCAGAGCTATGATGGACACATTTAGGACAGCCCTGTGTCCTGCTGTTAAGGCTAGGGTGACACTATCCCTAACCCTAAAAGGAAAGGTAATTTTAAAAATAAAAATTATACTGAGCTGCTAGTTATTTTGCCTATAGGAGTCTGTGCATGTGTCTGGTGGAATCTGGTTTTTCTCTGATGTTGCCAGGCAATTTTGGCCAAGGTAGGCAGAAGAATTTGAAAACTATGGAGAGGAGTTTGACCTCCGAAAGCTAATCTGGCACTCTGTTACCTTCTTCTCCCACAGTTTCTTCTCTGTTTCCAGATCTTACAAATTTACAGTCAAGAGTGCTTGGAGTATTATTCCATTAACAGATGTACTGTTACATTAAGCCATTAATCAGACAAATCACAGATGTTGTTTTCTTTCTAGATGTTACTATAATTACTCTTGATAACACCTACTGAGTTTGTCATTTCATCCATTGATGGCTTTTTAAAAATTTCTTGGATAATTCATTTCTTAAAGACTATTTATATGGATTTAAAAGTTCAGGATCTCTCCTCAGGTTTTCACCATGTGTGTTTTAAAGAGTATAACAGTATAACATCGCATATGGGTGGATTAGTAGGCTCTTGAGAGACTGAAGGTTGAAACCCACATGCTGAGTTTGCAATTAAATCATACTCCTCTTGTGCTAAAAGATGAGCCTTTTCTTTTGAATCATACAATGCTGATAAGTCCAGTGAAGGAGGCTGCCTTTCAAAAAAATGGAGCTTGAGGAAGGGAATGGAACTTAGTCCAGCTGCTTAGTTTACAGATGATAAAACTAGGACCTAGAGAACGTGTCTGTATTACTGAGACAAAAGGATGCCAGGGTCGAAGGCTCATGGCACTTAATCCAGTGTTGCTGCTGCTTGTTCTGTTTTAAGACAGAGGCTCAGTCTGTCACCCTGGCTGGAGTGTAGTGATGCAATCTTGGCTCAATGCAACCTCCACCTCCAGGGTTCAAGCAATTCTCTTGTCTCAGCCTCCTGAGTAGTTGGGATTACAGATGTGCACCACCACACCTGGCTAATTTTTGTATTTTATTTTTCTTTAGTAGATACTGTTTAGGAGTATCACCATGTTGGCCAGCCTGGTCTTGAGCTCCTGACCTCAGGTGATCCACCAGCCTCGGCCTCCCAAAATGCTGGGATTACAGGCGTGACGCACCACACCCAACTCAGTGTGCTTCTACTCCGACATTCATTCTTCAAACAGCTTCTGCCATGTCAGAAGGGAATGAAAATTTCTTTTGTGACTCAAAGGTAAACTAAAACAGGTTGATTCCTGAAACTGGTTCTACTCTGCTTAAAGTAAACTTTTACCCACTCTCCTTAAAGTAAAACTTAGCCAGGTGCTTTGAACCTCGGGAGCTCTAACTTTTCTGCTGATTAAATATTACTGATTTCTCATTTTCTGGTGACATTGTTTTAAAATTCTTTTGACTAAAAAGTTGACACTTCTGGAGTCTTTTCTTCTTTTCCTTTTGTTTTTTGTAAAATATACTTCTATTAAGAGATGAATAGTCAGAATTGGAATGAGTACAGTTTAGTAGAAAAAAACATGGGCTTTGGAATAAAAGTTGCATGTGAATTCCAGTTCTACATCCTATAATTGTGTAACCTTGGCAAGTTACTTCACCTGTCAAATGTTCACATTCAGAGAGAGAGAGAGAGAGAGAGAGAGAGAGAGAAATTGCCTAGTACAATTCAATAACTGGCCCACAGAAAGCATTTAATAACTATTAGTTACTGCTATGAGTTAGAACCAGAGGAGAGAGAATGTTAATGGTCATGGCATTTTTCTGTTTATGTTAAATACTATGTTAAACATCTGGAGAAAAGAAGAAGAATCTAATTTTCTGCTTTTAGTATTAGTGATCACTGGCTGCTGTCGCCAATGCAGGGAGCCTTGCAGACAGTTAGCAACCTGAAAACAAACTGTATTATTTGAGAGGAGGTACTTTTATCTCTCAGCTAAAGTTTTTGCAGGTCACTCTGATACGGTGCAGTATCAATTTGAACTCATTAAATTGAAGAAGTGACACAGGAACACAAGAATACGTTGAGTGTTTCTTTGCCTCATCTGCCTAATTAAATAAAAATTCCAGATCTCTTCACTCACAAGCAAGCTTGATGGTGAAATCTTCACACACATGCCACTGTATGTTCTCTACCTCCTCCCCAAGTACACCCTACAGCAGTGGTTCTCAAATGTGCTTCCTGGGTTAACTGTATCAGAATTACTCGGGAATTATTAGAAGGGCAAAACCTCAGGCCCTACCGCAGATATGCTGAGTCAGAAATGTGGGGATGACTCAAAAACCTGTTTTAAACAGACTTCCAGGTCATTCTGATGGCATTCCAGAACTGTAACCTGGAGAACATACCGCCATTTAATGTACTGCAGTTTTTCTCAAAGTGAAGAACAGATACCAAGATAGGACCAAAAATGATCTTAGGTAGGACAAAGATGACTTTAGGTGATACTTGCATACCAACATCATAGAAGGGCTGTAAGAACTTATGAATGGATTAGAGAATATAGTAGGAACTTGCTACATTCTTATTTCTTCAAGTTTCATTTTGAAGTCAGTTTTCCGTGTGGCCTCCAAAATAGCATTTCTGTCGGGGCTTCAGATTCCTCATTTGTGACATGACAGTAAAGAAGACTTGTAAATTTCAAAGATTCCTTCCAGCTCTTAACTAATATGTACTTATACATGTGTATTATATGTGCGTTTGTTTACCTATAGAATAAATTCTGTATATAAGTCTGGCTTAGGCACAAATAGTTTAATTCCCCAGGCATAAACCTTGAGTGTTTGGGGATAACATTGAAACTAGATGGCTGTGTTGGAAAAATAAAAAATCAAATTGTGAGAAATGTGGGCGCTAATGTACATTTCAGAGCTCAAAGGTAATTTCATTGTATTTTATCATGATCTGTCAAACTTAAAGAAATACTGACACTAGAAAATAGATTTTTGCAGAGGTTTCTGAGGACAGTGGTTTCCATGAGCTGGTGTAAATATATTCAGAGAGACTTGTTCCTACTTAATAACCCGCGTTTTTCCCTCTGAATTGCTGATGCATTCATTTATAGCATTTGAAAGGCAGTTTGTCCTTTGCTATCAAGTGAACTTGACAGAATAATACGAAATTTTGAAAAATTCAATCAAATCTTTTTGCTTCTCAAAGGAATTTCTCGACTACTTATTCTGTTTAAGGAGAAAAAGAGAAGATAGTGTTTTTTTGGTTTTGTACAAAACACTAACCAAGCTTAATAGCACAGGCTCTAGTTAGTAGTTGCCACATCAAGTTTTCCCTCTCAGTAATCCTGGGGACAGTGCCGACTGAGGTTTGGGGTTGGGGGTTCTTTGGGGAGTAGCAGCAATGCATAAGGGGTCGCTACAGGACCGCACTGTTATAAAATCAGAAGCTGTCATGATCAGCTTATTTATTGCTTACAACATGCCTGTCAATCTGGAGACCTGAAAATAAGGAGAAATGGTGAAACTCACTTTTCTTCCTTAGACAATAAAATGGCTTGCATTGTCTTTTACGTAACTGGCAGAACCCCAGAAGCTAGATCCACTCAAATATTGGCAATTCTGATGAAATGCCCCGGGGACTATTCAACTTGATTTAACCGGCACTGAACTGAAAATTACTATGTACAGAGAGAATGTGCTTGCAATCATACAGACAACAGTTCAAATTACTCTTTAAGCTCCAGTCTCCTTATCTATAAACTGAGGGTAAAATGTTCCTGCCTCACAAGATTGTCCTGAGAATTAATCAAAGAGGTAACGTTGGAAGTAGCCAGAACATCTAAAATTAACTGAGCACTTACTGTCTGCCAGGTGCTGTTTCAAGGGCTTCACCTGCATGAGGTCATTTAAGCCTCAGTAAATCTCTGAGATAGTTACTACTATAAGCTCTGTGTTGTGGATGTAGGAACTTACCCCAGAGAAAATGTAACTAACTTGCCAGCCACAATGTGACAGGAAGAGACAGAGCCAACATGGGAACCCAAGAAGTCTGGCTGCAGGTGCTTCTTCTTTAAGGTTTAAAAGCACTTGACATTGTTATCAGCATTTCATATGAGTTAAACCATGTGAAATTACAGATACTTGACCATTTTTCACAAAAAAAAATAGCAATTTTATGTAGTGGTACCTAATAAGCACTGGATATGTATTAGTAGTAGCTGCAGCTGCTACTACTGCTAATAGTAGCAATCATAATATTTATTTTACCCTAGACGGTCACTCATTAAAGTAAGGAATACAGGTCTATTATAGAGTAAAAACTACTAGCTTGGCAATCAGAAGCTGGGTGAACTCTAGGTTTCAGTTCTCCCATTCGTAAAATAATGCGATTGGTCTTTCCCA